TGTATCCCCCATCCTATACTCAGAAGGTAAAAGGAAGTCTATAAAGCACTAGATCTTTGGGTATTCAAAGTAAACAACCACCAAGAGAGCCTACAGCTCCAGCCGAGTTAAGGAAGGTAACAGGTCTAGTACACAAACACCAGCACACGCAAGTGTCTCTGACCCTCCTATCTGTTGGTGTTTTTTTTAATTTGTGCCTGTTAGAGCAAGTGTGTTCACCAAGACTGACAGCCTTCAGTAGCTGACAAGGCTTTCCCATTCAGGAGCCCCTGATGGTCAGGTCAGCAATGCTGAGGGACCTGAATCTGTCTACCAATATGGCCACTGCTGCCACAGTATGTGGTTTAGCGAGCTGGGATGCGAACGTAAAACTGTTTCAGCATGTCCATCACCATGCAGACAAGGAGATGGAGGCCTGGGAGTGGGTAACCCTAAGCCCACGATGACCTGCAGTCATATTCACGTCCTAACTTCCAAAGCATTTCCACAGGGTTCTTAACACAATCCCAGGAGGCTCACATTATGAGTCCTATTTACAGATAAGGGAACAGAAGCTCAAAGAAACAGATTTTTGCCCAAGACTACAATGCCATATTATTAATATATAAAAGTTTCACAGCTGGGATTGAAACCTGTAAAGGTGGAAATGAACTTCACATGACTTATAATTCTGGTAGAATGCAGGAGGGCATGAAAGACCTTCACTCCCAAAGCAGCAAGAAAAAAAGCCGGGCAAAATAAAAGTAGTGTTTTTCCACAAGACTCACAAAGAACAGTGGCTACAAGGATTCTTCACCAACTGCCTTCCAGAAAAGCCGCTCAGGGGTGCACGGACACCTGGGTCCTTGTGTATACCTGGGGGAGTAGACTCAGGAGTCTGGAGGCAGTGTACAGAAGAGTGGGCCTGCCTTAGATGCAGAGGCTTTGCATGGGTGAGAATTCACAAGACTCACAATACTGACTGAAAGCTACAAACACATCACCTTCACAAACTACCTGGGGGTGCCTGGGGGGCTCAATCAGCTAAGCGTCTGACTTTGGCTCAGATCATCATCTTATTGTCCATGAGCTAGAGCCCTGCGTTGGGCTCTGTGCTGTTAGTTTGGAGCCTGGAGCCTGCTTCGGATTCTGTGTCTCCCTCTCTCTCTGCCCCTCTTCTGCTCACACTGTCTCTTTCTTCCCAAAATAAATAAAGATTAAAAAAAAAAGATAAAAAACTGCCTGGCCAGATGATCTCCCTTCCTGGGACCTTGCAGAGCAAATGGTGAAAGAGGGTCTAGAGTCTTGTGCGTCCTCATGGTGGCCGGATGCCAGGATCCCGTGAGAACTGAGTCCACAGAGACACAAACATCTGAATCTTGCACCTCCACGCCCTCCCTGCTCCAATACCGCTAAGATCAAAAGGCTGCTGCAGGAGAGGGCAGGGGGTGGCCTAAGCCCGGCCAACCCATCTTAGGAAAGCTACGCCCCAGACATGGTGTGCCTGTGCCCTGGGATCGGGATGAACAGGCCTTCAAGGAACTGCCCACCAGAAGAAGAGGTCTGCATTCCTTAGAAATACAACAAAACCCAACATTATCCTGTCTCCAGTGTTCTTTTTAGATCCATTATCTGGAACAAAATTGGTAACAACTTCAAGGGGACACCCAGCTAAAATGCTGGATAAGCCAAGCGGCACTCCAGCACCACGGGGTAGAGCGCATGGGACCAGAGCGAGCTGTCCCTGCAGGCTGTGCACACAGCATCGGCGGCCCCCTTGAGTTATAGGACCATCGTCATTCGGCATGTCCCTGTGTCCTTTCTTGTCCAGCCACCTTCTCCACAATACTCACTTTTCTCTGGTTGAAGCCCTGTCTGTTGCGTTTAGTCTTGAAGAGGTGGTACATCCAGATCCTCATCCTCAAGCCATTTAAGCCAGGGTCCCTGGGGGCTTGTTCTCACAAAGCTCCATGGCTACTGACAGGGACTTTGATTTGGGTTTGCACGCCTACTTCCAGGACTCAAGAATGGGACAATTTAAAGATAAATGGAATTCATTTAATCTAGTGGAGGAATAAAAGCAAGATTCTTGAACAATTCTAGTTAAAAAACTTCTGGAGCTTTCTGTCCTCTAAGTCTTTTTTTTTTTTTTTTTTTTAAATTTATTTTGAGAGCAAGCAAGCATGAGGGAAGGACAGAGAAGGAGAGGGAATCCCACGCAAGATTCTTGAATAGATCTGCTCAAATCCACAAACCATGAGATGGTGACCTGAGTTGAAATCAAGAGCCAGATGCTCTCTAAGTCCAGTGTTTTACTTTTTTTTTTTTGAGCTCCTGAGCTCCCCCATATCCTTCAAATGAATTCTTCATTGAATTCATGTCAGCTGTTTGGTTGTCTGCAGTAGAGCCCTAAATGGTACTCTTTACAAGACCAGGACTATGGCCCAGTAGACAATCCCGGTCTCCCTCAGATGTGTCTGCAAGGATATGTTTTGAGAGAGAGACAGAGGGAGAGAGTGAGAGCGAGAATCCCAAGCAGATCTTTGCTCAGCCCAGAGCCTGCCATGGGGATCAATCTCATAACCTTGGGATCATGACCTGAGCTGAAGTCAAAAGTTGGATGCTCAACTGACTGAGCCACCCAAGCACCCCAGGAATTTGTTTTACTAGATGATGTATCACAATCCCCCATTTGAGTATCTTGGCCATTCCTAGAATTTCTCAAAGCTATCTATCTTTGGAATACAATACTGTTCTACTCTCAGTTCCCTAAGTTTTCCATGTCAGTAATTATTTAACTAGAGCTTTGGCTCTAGTTTTAAAGCTGAACTATCATGACTCACAAACATGTGTCCTTGACACATTCCACACCAGCATGAACATTATTCACTGCAACTTATTTCAAAACCCAAAGTTTATTTATTTTGAGAGAGAGAGAGAACATGTGCAGAGAGAGGGAGGGAGAGAGCATCCCAAGTGCTATCAGGTGGAGCCTGACATGGGGCTTGAGCCCACAAACCATGAGATCATGACCTGAGCCGAAATCAAGAGCTGGACACTTAACTGAGCCACCAGGTGCCCCCAGTCGAGTGATTTAGTAATGAGACCTTATGTGTCATTAGTCTTTACACCAGTGTTACTAAGGATGTTTTGTGCTTACCCACATGACTAAGTGATTGTGTTTAGGTCCGATCTCATTTACATCTTCTCAGGAATTTCATGGCCTGGTGAGTAGGGCATAAATTCCACCGACACATGTAGACAGAGCCTTAACTTTTGACAAGATTAGTAGACTGTTTGATGGCTCAATCTACAACAAATTTAATAATGAAGGGCTTCTGAAGATGTATCAGCTCTACATAGAACGATTCTACGGCTTTAAGGTCAGGACATATGCTCAGCATATTAGAATTCTATTCAATATTCTGACCCTGAGAAAAGCTAAAAGATAAATATCATCTGCTTTAGTTTCTTTATCCAGAAGAAAGTTGGAACATTTGTCTACAAATGACACAATTTCAGTTAAAAAAAAAACAAAACAAAACAACCCTATCAACAAGGGACGCACTCAAGGCTTGAGCCACCCTCCTGGAACACCCTCCTGGAGCCATCCTCTTGGAACACCCTCCTGGAACCAAAACCTTTATGGTACAGCTACTTAGTAATGTTAGGTTATTATGATCCATGTGGGATATTTCTATTAACCCAACCCAGCTCTTAATAGCACGGCGGGTTCTGGGTTGTCCTGCATTTGGAAGCTGAGTGGTAGAAGCAAAGGAAATCATAAAGAAGATACTGAATTGCCTCAAATATCGAGCTCTTAAACTCTACACAAAAAGGCCAGGGAATAGTCTGAGACACATCAGACTCACCAGCAGTCTTCCAGCGATGAGGGTGTCAGAGAAATATCACACAGGCGATCATTTCTATCTGAGTCCCTAGAGGACAGGCCTAGGGATTCTGCAAGTGGAGTAAACGTAGAGAATGCTCAAAAATCCAGCCTGGCCAACAATATGCACATCAGTGTGTCAAAGTAGTAAGACTACCGTGGTGACAGCCCACATTTGAGGGAGAACTGCTCTGGGGCTGGGGCCGAGTGCCTCACATGCATCATCTCCTCACACCACCCCTTAGGAGGGCGCCACTGCTGCTCCACTGTGTAGAAGCAGAGGCTTCGAGAAGTTAGGGGATTAGTGAGCGGGCACAGAGTCAGTTCACGGGGAGCCTGGATTAACCACCTGAATATCCACAGGGAGCCGTCCAACCATGTCCAGTGCATGTAACTGCCGCCAAGGGGATACCTGGGAACCTGGAGCCCAGTGACCTGTGTCAAATGCATGTATACAGCGAGCACAGATTCTGTGACACTAAAAGTTCTTCAAAATGACATTAAAAAGGTTCCTCAATTACTTTAGGCTCTAAGATGTCTGAATGAGTCACGATCCATGTGATTAACTTCACTTGGTGATTAAAACCATGATAAACTTAGTAACTATACTATTGGATATTCTAAATTTAAGAAAAGACAAAAAGAAAGGACATGAGAGACAAACCACCTTTTTTTTTTTATACCAGTCTGCCATGAGATTAAAGGATTACTGAAATCAGACCTAAGGCAAATAATAATGATCAGATACAACACTGCACACTACCAAAGTATGAAAGCTACACAGCAAGGTAAAACACTCCAAACGCAAGTAAACCCCAGAAAATTTTATGTAACTTTGGAAGAAGACCAAGTGGAGAAAAATTAATAAAGAGAGACCTCTTTATTATAAAATAGCTGTATAATATAGTTATTAAAAATGGGAGATGAAACTTTATTTTTGGTATCTTATGTTTTGCAGTCAATTTTCACAATTTTCGAAACTTGCTTCCTGCAACCTCTACCTGCCTACTACTCACACAACCAAATAAACTCCCCAACAGGTTCGAGTGAGAGACTTACTATCAAATAAATTACTCCAATGTCTCATGAATATAGACTGAGAGTTTCAAAGAAATACAATAAAAACAAAAACATACGGAGCATAATTTAATCTTTCAGATGGTTTACAGAAGGCACCTCAAGACCACATTGTGCCATTTTCCTCATGCGGTGTGTTTAAGGGCTTATAACAGAATTCTGGTTAGTGGAATTCTAGACAAAAAAAAATGTTTCCTATGGAGGGCACACAGCATCAAATGACTACGGATACAATATGGGGACTCAGACATATGTATCTGTACTAACTAGGGCACAATTTATAATATGCTAAGAAAACTTTAAAATCAAAGTTACAAAATGAATATTTTTAGCACATCTAGCAACAGCTACTTGTTTTAAACTATCATTTCATTTCTGGTGACCAAATTATATTGGACCATAATTAAAAAACATATAACTTTAAAATGACATTACAAAACCATGGTTACAACAGAATTAGGTTACATTAAATGAAGGAAAGTCACATACGTGTACTGCATGGCACTGTAGTTTTTCAAAGCCATTGGAAAGGCTATTCCTTCCACGTTTATGTATGTCAATTTAAAACAGGTCTCTGCTCAGTGTGCTTACAGAAAGAGCTGAAATCAGTGTTGATCACCCAAATGCCTGACAACCACTCCATGCTGATCACTGATCAAGTATTTTTATTGGATTATCCAACAAGCTAATAGTGGAGCCCCATCTGACACAGAGATGTGGCGGATTCCAACTATCCCACTGTGGAGAAATATTCAACTTAAAAGCAGAAACAAGTGACAGCTGAAAATGGCTGAATCACTGTACCTTCACACACGACCATAAATCTTAGTTTTGCTCTACACTATTTGGTACTTTTTGATTCAGTAGTTGGGGTAAAAAAAAGTTTCCGTATTCAAACATATCTACAGAATATCAATATAAAATGTGTGAATATATACATTTAATACACATATACACACACTCTCACACACACACACTCACTCACTCACATATGGAGAAACCAGCACTTACCCACATCCCCATTTCTCACGAACGATTCGACAAACCGTTTGTTACTTTAAGACCAGCTTAGATGTTCTGAGGCTGCAGCGCACGGCAACAGAGGTCAGATGCAAGCTCCCACTCCGGCTGGCTTAGATTGTTTCTCTTCGTGATTTCTGACGAGTAGTAATACCGCTTACAGAACAACTACATCTCAATAACTTAGGAGTCAGAGTATAAAACCAGTGTCATGAACATTTAACTCTCTCATGGCATGTTTTTCATTCTATTTCCACTGATGGTAAGAGAGTGCACCAAACTAGATCACACTGAACTGTACAAATGATCTTTACTCCTAATCTAAACAAACATGTGTTAAAACATTCTGAAACGCTGCATCCTTGGATTTCTTCATCTTCTCAATTGCTCGCTGAAGGTCCTGCTGTTGCACAGGCCGGATTTCATCTTCATCGCGGCTAAGACACAGACAAAACCGCCAGATGATCAAATGACTTTCAAATACATCTCCCTAAAATATCCTCCTGAGATTAAGAAATGAAGTCTCTGTCCCACCTACGACCCCCAAGGACAGCCACAATTATCAGCTTCATGAGAATTTCCAGAATGCTCTGTGTAGACACAAGCCGGGGAGGATGTTTAGAAGTGCAGGGTGCTGGGAGGGAGGGGCCTGAAAGGCTGGCTGTAACTCAGTGCTCCAGATGTGGTCATGAAAACCAAACACCTCACACTAAGAACCAAAAGCAGAATATTAGCACAACATAAAAATACTAGATAAAGGTGTGCACTTTATCTACATGGATGCAGAATTCCCATCAAGGAATAAAAAATTATTCCCATGAAAACTCAAATTAAAAGTAGCATTCTTGGGTATATTTTCGTGTACATATTTAGCATCTGACAAACTAAAATTCTTTGCTATTAATAAAAGCCAACTCGCCTAAACCCTCCCCTATTCCATAATGCGAAAAACAAAATCCAATATATAATGTCTTCTTGTAATTTACACACACTTAGGAAAAAGCAATTAGGGAAAAAGTTATGATAAGCTAAGTCTATGAGCCAGATTCTTCATACTGACATAAAATTTTCAAAGGCTTTGAGGATAGCAGAAAAATAGGACTTTCTTTATTCACACAAAATGTATTCCTAAGTTGTTTTTCTTCCTCTCCTCATTATCTTACACGCAAGAATAAAAACCTTTGGAAGGTAAACTCTTGGCTCCCGTCAGAGGTCAGAAGCATTCCCAGCATTAGTGTTCGGGGAGCTGGGGTAATCCTGCCACAAAGAAACGAAGTGGGCCTCCCTGTAACAGGGCCCTAGGGAGCACCAGAGGCAGGGGCGGAACTCGTGCAAACACAGCTAACCTTCCTACACCAAACAAAACCCTTTGGTGAAGCTCGCTACGGCAACACACTGTCATTAAACACTCACAACAGCCACATCCAGGTTCCCTGGAGTGGGGGTGGGGTGGGGTGGGGTGGGGTGTGTGCTGAAAAAAGGGCAAGAGGTGGAAAACTCATTCAAACGAGGCCCCAGAGTACAAGTTTGCTACGAGTCACAGAAACTCTTCGTCAGAAGGTCAATATTCTGAAAAGAGGTTAAATGCAGTGTTACGCTGGCCCAGGGTGAGTGGCCTTCTGGGACAGGTCCTTGCAGGACACAGTTCATGGGGTGGACTTGATTCCGTTCACTGGTGTGTCTGCTGCAACAGCTGGGCACAGAACTGGCTTCTCAGACTCTGCTCTGAAACTGCCTTCAAGTGAAGTCTGCCCCAGTGACAACTGTGTGTCTAGTAAATACACTGCTGTTAACAAACTGAAGGCTGAACCCCAGCAACGGCGCCCCCCGGCACACTCACACGTGAAATTCCTGGAAGGGCACAGGAAATGAAACTAGGAGTTTCAGGTGCAAAGCAGTCCAGAAACCCTAGCAAACCCTCTCTCCTGGGAGAAAGTAAGCCTGAGCTCCTGTCGGCCTCCTGGGACCCAGCGCAGGGGTTTTCAGCAAATGTGCAGCTTCTATTTCTTCCTCTTCCTTCCAGAGCCTCCCCACGAACCCCGTCCCCAACTTGCTTTCAGAACTTCCCTTTAGGAAAAGGCACTTTGTAAAGTTGGGGAGTTTGTTAATTCAAGTTCACCTTTTATTCCATAAGCAGAGTTGTTATTGTAAAGAAAAAAAGGAAACTGCCCTAAAATCTCTAAAAGGATCTGAGAAATAGATCATACCTGTCCTCTGCTGTAGAATTAACATACTCTCGGACACACAGGAGCGCGGCGTCTCTGCACATCTCCTTCAGGTCACTGCCTGAGAAGCCATCAGTTTCCTGGGCGACTTCTAGCAGGTCCACGTGCCTGTCCACCTTACAGGAGTGAGAACAAATATGAGAAGTGCCACAGAGGATGATACATCCACTCTTCTCCCACTTAAAGAATGTTAAGCATAATGGAATAGTAAGGAAGGAGGAGAAGCATCCAAAAATACTTTCGGTTTCTATTTTCTTTAGCCATAAAAGCTGGAATTTTGAAATCTAATTGTCTTTAACTGTCATTATGACTGGAGCACTAAATAAAGCCTTACTAGATAGATCACAAAGTGAGAGGGAAGAACAGACTCAAAGGCCATCGGACTCTCCTTGCACCTCTCTGGAAGGTCTCGAGTTGACACTTCCCTGGGATACATTCATCACCATTCTTGGCAAACAGCCTGCATCAAGTCCCGGGTCCATTACAACAAACCTAGCAACTGGCACTCACTCTCCTTCTAACCACAATGCTCCGTGTTTACTAGCTCAGCACTCAGCGTCAAGTAGTCTTGCTCCTCAACGTAAGCTTACACAATCAAGCCATTTTGGTCATTGTCCTGGGCACACAGCAGGCTGAGGACAGTACAATGACACTAGGCTTCTGTGTAGGTTAAGAAGAGAAAATGAGCAAGAATGATTTCCTTCTATTAGACTGAGCACTCTGCATGTTAGTCTCATTTGACCCTGTCAGGCAGCATTCTCCTTTGGAGGGAGGTTAAATACACTGCCCAAGGCTGCACCAGAGCTGGGCTGTGGACACATTGTGGGTAAGGTCCAGCAGAATTCTTCCCCCCATAGCTAACCATTTGTGTTAACAATACTTACTGTCCCCCACTGGCCTGAAATGCCACCTTTATGAGTTATTAAATTCCCATTTGCTTCTGTGGAAGCCCCAGTGTTTACTTAAGTAATACTGGCAGCTGTACAGAAGACTGGGAAGCCGGATGAAGTGGGGTCCACTGTCAGCTCTGCAACTGTGACCTCGCACAACGCCAGTCTTTTCATTTCTAAAAGTGGGGGTTGAATATTGAGAAATCTCATATTCTTTGATAAAAGAAGTGAACCCAGGAGGTAGGTGTGGGGCTTGCAGCAGAGCTAAGCAAAGAAAATGTAAGCGCGTAACTAAATCTAAATAAGCTTTAATGGGAGCCTGGGGCTCTCGGTAGGTTGGGCATCCGACTTTGGCTCAGGTCATGATCTCACTGTTTGAGTTCGAGCCTCACATCGGGCTCTGTGCTGCCAGCTCAGAGCCTGGAGCCTGCTTCAGATTCTGTGTCTCCCTCTCTCTCTGCCTCTCCCCTGCTCATGCTGTCTCTCTCTCAAAAATAAACATCAAAAACTGTTTTTAAATAAATGAATAAATAAATAAATAAGCAAGCAAGCTTTAACACACACACAGTAGTAACAGTCATTTAATTTGGGGTGGAGAAACAACATGGAACTAAAACGTGAGCCACGAGACCATGTGGGACAGGGAACATCCATGCAGAAGCATTTGAGGTAAAATTATAGTCTTAGAAAGAGGGAAGACATACTGTTAATCTGGACTTTAGGAATATGTCAAAAAATTTTAAGGGTACCAGTAAAAGATAAAAAGAGAATGTGTAATTTCTGAACCAGCAGAAGGAGGGGGAAAAAGGGAAAGAAAACACAAGAGCAGGGGTGGGTGGGCAAAAAAGAAAAAGCGTAATACTTGGAAAGTACGAAAAAAAAGAAGGAATCTAAGTTTATCAGTAATCCCCACGAATGCAAATAGGCTAGGCTGGTGACAGCCCATCTGATTGTATAAAAAAACCAAAATTGTAGCTATTTGAGGTTTAGAATGGTCACACCCTGTATAAGGGGAAAATAAAACAGCCTCATGTTCCATTTGAAAAGAAAAAAAAAGTTCAAAATAAAAGACTGAGAAAGAACATAAAAGGTAAATAGTAATCAAAAGAAAGGTAATATAGGTCTGTGTTTATCAGAATAATAGATTTTTTCTCAGAACACGATTTGGAATAGAAACCATTAAATAATGATAAAAAATAATTCACCAGAAAAATGTAACAATTCTGCACTGGTATAATTTAATAAAATATGGCTCTGAAAGACAGAGCAGAAATGAACATAAGGACACAGAGAGATGGACAAATCCACTGGGAGATGTTATTTTTAAGATTTTAAGTAATCTCTCCGCCCAGCGTGGTGCTCGCCCTCAACCCCGAGATCAAGAGTCCCAGGCTCTAGTGAACTCGTGTATCGCGTACTGACGTATCAGACAGTGAGAACGTCTAGTTACCGTTAGCACCTGTGATCTGACGTACACAACAGAAAACCTGATGAACTGACCACGGGAGTACCGTATAATTTGCATATTAGTCCCTTGTTGGTTACAGGGCTGTAAATGAGTTCCCGATGGCTTTTCTTTCACTTTGTTCACGTTAACTTGTCATACTTCTGATTATAACCAGACCTGTCTACTCTCTTCCTTTGAGGTGTCTGCTCCTTTGTGTCTGACAACTCGTTCTACGTGTGCATGTACATATGCAACCACATACAACAATCTAAGTTCTTTACAGTCTGTAACACTCAGGGAAGAGTGAAAATAACCCACACTACGCACATGTATCACACGCTCCTCCACACAGAGCCACGGAATGGATTTCCACTACCCACCAGGACAACGGGCTACCAGTGCCAGTGACTGCAGGAGATGGGAAGCAAGTATGTTCAGATCACCTGTTAAATCTGGGTGATGGATATAAGGTTGTATATACATATAAAATATTCCATAAATTAAACTACTTAAAACCACCTTCCAAACTGTCCTCTGCGACGTTAACAATGAGTCTTTCTCACTTAAACAATCGACACCTCTATTCCATCTTTTGACCATACTTTGTCGGGCTGCACTATGTTCTAACCACTCACAAATCTTGTGCAGGGCACAGTGATAAAGTCACAAAGATGAACAAAACAAGTATGACAAAAGGTCTAAAAGGAGAAGATTCCAGTTACCAGGGGAGAAGATGAACAGAGGCAGCAAGCATATCATGCTGGTTAAGAGAAAGGCTCCATCATACTTTGCTATGTGAGCCTGGGCAACTTATAGAACGTCTCTGAGTTTCAGTTTCCTCAACGTAAAATCGTATCAGCATGTGCTCTTCAGATGAACTGAGGATTAAGTAAAAATGATGTATATCTCACCACTATGCAAGGCACACAGCAAATACTCGAAAAGTAACCCTTTTTATAGAATGATAGCTATTAGATAAACCATAAAGTCATGGAAACAGTTTTCATTAGGCATTCCTTATACCCATGACAAACGTCATCCTAAAGGATTTCCAAAGGTGCTACTCTTAAAAACAAACAAACAAAAAACCAAAACAGAACACTGAAATCAAAGTTCAGAAATAATGAGGAGTTTCTGGGGCATCAGAGTGACTCAGTCGGTTGAGGGTCCAACTCTTGGTTTCAGCTCAGATCATGATCTTATTATGGTTTGTACTGAGAGCAATATTGGAATAAAATGAACGACTTTCTAACACAGTCTAAAGGAAGAGCACTTATCTCCTCTATCTACTGGGGACGGCACACAAGCATGGTACTCTCAGCATTTTACATGTATCATTTAAATTCTCAAAATGATTCTATAAGACTGTTGGCATTACCTCTACTTTCCCAGTGAGAAAAATGAGGAATAGGGACACTCAACACTATATGCCCAAGGTCCCCCAGTAGGGAGGGGTCAAGCCAGAATGTGGGGCCCTCAGGCTGGTCTTCAAAGCCCATGCTTGTTAGTAACTACTACTGCTGCATTATGGAAAAGGTATAAACTCAGATTTGTTTGTAGGGGAAAAACTCAATCTCCTCAGTACAGACAGGACACCTGTATAACATACACATTGTATTAGTTCTAATCCCTTCATACTTAAAACTTTAAGCCAAAACCACTACACTATCAGTTTTAGATTTTTTTAAATGTATATATTTGAGAGGATGAACACCAGTGGGGGAGAGGCAGAGAGAGAGGGAGACAGAGGCTCTCAAGCAGGCTCTGAGCTGACAGCAGAGAGCCTGACGCAGGGCTCGAACCCACAAACTGCAAGACCATTACCTGAGACCAAGTCAGATGCTTAACTGAGGCACCCAGATGCCCCTACACTATCTGTTTTCAATGACTAAGCTGTGTTAAAGACTGATCAGTAAAGAAATATGAGAAGACTGGAAAACAGTATCATTTGAGTCATCTTTTTAACAAAATTACATTAATTTCTTTCAGATTCTACTGAAGTTAATAATACGCCTTCAGCATACAAATATTAGCTAGTGGGAAATAAGATGGTCTTGGGTCAGCAATTATCCAGAGAACATTTCTATTCTGCATCATAAAACTGGACACTAATTTTTAGTGCTTTAAGAAACAGAATGCTAAAAATTCCTTATACCTATGATAAATGTCATTCTAAAAGGATTTCTAAAAGAATGAAATCTGGCCATGTGTAGCAACATGGATGTAACTTGAGGGTGTTACGCTGAGCGAAGTCAGTCAGGCAGAGAAGGACAGCTACCATATGTTTGCATGTATAGAAGGATTATGAGGAACTTAACGGAGGACCATGGGGGAGAAGAAGGGGGGACATAGGGGGAGAGAGGGAGGGAGGCAAACCATGAGAGGCTCTTGAACAAACTGAGGACTGATGGGTATGGGGGGGGGGGTGGAGTGGAAGGGGGTGATGGGCATGGAGGAAGGCACTTGTGGGGATGAGCACTGGGTATTACATGGAAACCAACTTGATAATAATAATAAAAAAAAAAAAAGGATTTCCAAAGATGCTACTCTTCAAAAAAGCAGAGTACTAAAGTCAAAGTTGATTAATTTTTTTTTTATGTTTACTTATTTTTGAGAGAGAGTTGGGGAGGGGCAGAGAGAGAGAGAGAGAGAGAGAGAGAGAGAGAGACATAGAGTCCAAAGTGGGTTCCAAGTGCTGAGCTGTCAGCACAGAGCCTGACAGGGGGCTCAAACCCACGAACTGTGAGATCATGACCTAAAGCCAAAGTCGGATGCTTAACTGACTAAGCCACCTAGGTGCCCCAATAGCCATCCTAATTTTAAAAGAACCTGTGGAATTATTTTATCTCCCGTGTTTTTTCCTGAACTGCTCCTTGATGCCCATCTTTGTTAAAAGTTTACTAAGTGTCTTTTACCTAAACAGCACCACCACTATACCATGTCTTGAAAGCAGTTATCAAATAATCAGTGAAAGGGCAAATGTAAGTTGTTGATTTCATGCTCATATAGGACAGGAGTTCCTTACCTAGAATACACTGAGAGTTTTAAGGATTTCCCCGAAATTGCAGAAAACATTTCATGCACATGTAGTTTTTAAGAAATGACTGCACAGTGTTTCTCTCTTTATTACATGGCTCTATGATCCCCCAAATACTTAGTAACTCTATAATTTGCTAGATTCCTTAAACTTTTGCAATTTAGCATATGTCTTTTTTTTCATATCTATGTTTTAAAGAAATAAATGAACAGGACACTACTGAAAGGTACGGGAGAAGACTCAAAAAAACCAAAGACACATACTTGCTTTTGGATAGAAGATTCCACATCAAAAAGATCTTAATTCTCTTAAATTATAATCCACTAAACAACTAGTGTTTGTTTCTTCTTGAATAGGACAAATTAATTCTAAAATTAATACAGAAAAATAAACAAAAGTAGCCAGGGAACTGGGCTGAGGGACCAGCGGCGCCTCACCCTACTTGCTGTTAGACAACTGCTTCCGTGCAATCAGCAAAGTCCAGACCTGAGAGAAATGTGGATAAACCCAAGCTGGCTTGTTCAACAAATACACTGAAAGAAGGTGGGAGAAAGAAGGAGAGAGATGTAGGAGTAACCTATAGCCTACAGACTAAAAGAGATTTAAAAGCTACTGAGGCACACGGATGGCTCAGTTGGTTAAGTGTCCAACTCTTGATTTCCACCTCATGATCTCACAGTGCGTGGGTTTGAGTCCTGTGTCACTCTCTATACTGACAGTGCAGAGCCTGCTTGGGATTCTCTCTCTCCCTCTCTCTCTGCCTCTCCCTGGCTCACATGTGTACCCACATCTCTCTCTTTCTCAAATTAAATAAAACTTAAAAAAACAACCTATCAAATAATCTCAAATTGTGAACATTCTATGGATCCTGAGTCAAATACATGGTAAAAAACAAACAAACAAAAAAGCCATTTAGAAGACAGTAGGAAATCTGAACGGACTAGATATTCAATGATGATAATGAACTATTGTCAACTTTTTGGTACGTGTAATAATGGTTATGAGAGTAAGTCAAAAAAGGAAAGAATTCTTTCCTTTAGAGACAAAACTAAAATATTCACAGATGCACTATAATGGGGAAACCTGGGGAGTGGGGAGATAGGGCACAGAGGGGCAGAAGCACCCTGATGGTGATTCAGGGACAGAGGAAAACCACAAAACACAAGCATCCCTCACTATGGGGATCTATTAGATTTTTTAGTTTGGACAGCAAGTTCAAGCAGTGAGCATGTTTGTTTGTGTGTTTGCTTATTTATTTATTTAACTAAGCCCTACGCCCAATGTGGAGCTTGAATTTATGACCCCACGATCAAGAGTCACAGGTGCCACCAACAGAGCCCACCAGGTGCCCCTCAAATAGAGCTTAGCAACAAAGTTTGGGATGGTAAGGAATACCATGTTATTCAAAACTCAGAAGTCAAAAACGGGGAAAAGAACCCAGTAAGTTAAGAAAAACAAACCAGGAAAAAATACTTTCAAATCGTAAACCAACAAAATTCTCCCTAATATCAGAGTTCCTAGGTGGGGCGCCTGGGTGGCTCAGTCAGTTAAGCCTAATATCAGAGTTCCTATACATCCCTAAGAACAAGAACACTGCAATAGAAAAATAGGCAAAGAATATGAATAGGTATTTCACAGATAAAAAAAAAACAAACAAAAACCCTCAAGAGGCTCTTAAACATGAAACGCTCATTTCATCCTTAAAAATATAACGAGATACTATTTTCTACCTAGATTACACGGGCACAAAGCTCCTCTGTGTTGTTGGCAAAACTGCGGGAGAGGGGCTCTAACGTGGTTGGTGTTGAGAGTAAACCAGCTAGACAATTTGGCAAGAGCTACCAAAATTCCAAATCATATCTTTTGATCTAGCAATTCCTCTTCTGGAAAATTTACCCCCACTAACATCCCTCGACAAGTTCAAAGTGACATATGCACAAGGTTGTTATTCAACGGGGCATTTCTGTAAAAATAAAAGACTGTAATCAACCTAATGGTCTTCAGTGTGGCACCAATTACATAAATTGTGGTAAATCCAGACAGTGGAGTCTGATGCAATGAAAAAACGTGAGAGAGAATGAGCGCGAGTGAAGGCCCAGAATAAAGACACTGTCTGCTAATATGGAAAGGTCTCAAAGGTGAGTGAAAAGCCATTGCATAGGGCAGAGTATGCAGCTTATTAATAACGCTTATATAGAAAAAGGAAGAGGAGGAATAGTACATCCTATTTGCCAGTATAGACAGTGCCGTCGGAAAGGATACAGAGGAAATGTGAGAGGAAGTGAGACTCTTTCCTGAATACCATTTAGTGTACATATTTTAATTCTGAAGCATGTGACCTTAAATAGACACCATTTAAATTTTGATTATCATACCTTCTTAAAACTAAATTGCAACTTCAAAAAATACTGTAATCAAGTAAATAAAAAAACCTATACTGCTCTACAAATATAAATGTATCTTATATAACTGAAGAACAGTCTAAAAATATCGAAGAAGATTTTTAAAAAAGCAGACGATCTTTAATTAGTTTAAATGGACCCCAGCTAACGTGTTACATGAACAGCCAACAGTTTTACAGTGATTTATGCCAAATACAAAGCTGTTTATTCTCCAGTTGCTTTTTCATTTCTCTCTAAAATGGTTTTATGACTGGGAAAAAACGTAATTCTCTACTTACGTTTTCATTTTTCAAGATGAGTCTCAGGATTGCTTCTCTTTGTTTTAGAGCCTAAAACCAGAATCATGTCCAGTTAACGTTTAAAAAAAATAAGATCAACTAGTTTTCCTAATATTATTCTTTCCTCTGTAAATTATCTGATAATGCTTGCAGAAAGTGACAGAAATTCTTAACAATTGTGTAAGCAAGGTCCACTTTAGACTCTAGAGTAATCATTTGTGGTCAACCCACTGAATTCCTGTCTTCTTATTCTGAATCCCCAGTGATTGGCACAATGTCCTAGAAATAACACGCCCTTCAAGGTCTTTCCCCGATGCCTCTGCAAACGTCCTTTTCTTCATTTACGTAGTTGGACGGGGTGACGGCGATGTCGGCTCAGTTCCTCTAGGAGCACGTTGCTCCCACACTCGCTAATTTGTATCAGCCAGTTTTTGTCTGGCATTGACAGTACGTGTATCTATACTTCCAGCCCAGTGATGGCTCACTGTATACACCACAGAACAGGAATGTTGATAGAATACCTTACATGGAAAGTAAATATGAAAGCTTTAAAAATGTATTATGGCTGAACTCATTCCTATTCCCACGACCACTCAAGACACAGCTCGTTACCACGAGTATTAAATCAAATAGTAGGAAAAACACAACTAAACCCTGCTGTTCCTGTAATTCCAGATGGCTAAGTCTGAAGGTAAATTTGGTATGTTCTGTGATCACCAGTAACTACTTTTGGTGAATAATCACTTAATTTGGAGAATCATATACTCTGACATCACAGTTCTGCAATGAGAAGAGAATTACCCTATAAACTGTATGTATCCAGTAAAAACAGAATGAAAAGGGGGTTACCAAATCCCAGTTTCTACATTAACAGGATACCAATCTGTAACAAGTTTGACAAAATCTATTGCAACCCATTTTGGGTATTAATACGTTAAAATGAGAACTTTAGTACAGGCTACTCCACACGCTGTTGCAGCCTATGTTCTGTTCTACTGGTCATCAGTGCTGCTGTGCCGTGTCTGTCCTACGTGGGTGGCGCCGACATGCCCCGTGTCCTGTTCTACCATGCGTCCACGCTGCCGTGCCGCGTCCTGTTCTACTGTGTGTTGGCGCCGTCGTGCCGAGTCCTGTCCTGTCGTGGGTGGCGCCGTCGTGCCCTGAGTCCTGTCCTACCATGCGCGTCAGCGTCGTCGTGCCGTGTCCTGTGCTACCGTGTGTCGGCGTCCTATGTTCTGTTCTACTGTGTATCAAAACCCTGTTTCCTGTCAGACTCCAGGCAGAGTTTCCATTACTGTAATCTTTGTCTTTGGATCCACCAAGGGAAATTAACTTTCCTTAATAATGTTAAGGTTGCTATCTTGCCAACAGAAAAGCCCAATTCTTAGGCAAGGCGGACCAAATACATGTAAACCCGGCAGCAGTCTAACCTCTCAAGCCCCGGGTCCCTCTGCTTCCCAGACGCCCCACCCGAACTACTCCCAGAACGCTCAGGAAACACGCACACTCTTGACTTTCCTCGCCTCGCTTGCATATCAAACGCCTGCACCCTGGGTTCTGTAAGGTTAACTACTCAGAGAGAATTATTGTTTTCATCATCATTTCAGGGTCTCAGAGTTCCTCAGACATACTTTTATTAAGTACATTTTATGTCATGCATTTACGTGTCTGCCTCCTGTGCCACCCAGGGCTGAGAAAAGGGGTTGTTCTCCATTCACCAGAGCCTGGTGGGTGCCAGACACAAACCAGTGTTCAACACTGATCACACTAAATATATTTTCGAGTCTCCTACAGCGAGTTGAAAAATATCTTCACCGATGTAGCAGGTACTTTTTCTAACAGAGCGGCTCACTCTGTGCATACTCTCAGCGGAACCAGAGGTTGTAGCTACAGCGAACAACTGATCAGAGAGGCTACAACCATCACTTTTAGGAAACCTTGATATTGCCACAAACTGGTAAGCTGTGGAATATACAATGGGACGGGTGTTTTTTAGCCAGAGACTCTCAGGGTTATTATAATCTTTTACTTCAAAATTTGAAAGGACTGACACAAAAAATTCTCTTCTACACAGCTATGCATGTAATGTGTGGACTGACTGTGTGGTGCACATTTTCAATTACCAACCCTATTTTTTTCTTTTTCAATCTAAAGGCACACAAAATTCAAGATGTGAGGCTTCTGTGTAAAAATTATGTAGAGTACCAGAGTAAGTTATAATCACCTATCGGAGGGCACTTCTTAACTGACAAAAAAGGGTATTAGAAAGAAGACAGTCCTGCTTCATTCGGTACCACCCTCACATTTGCATGAAGTTAAAGTGTAGTTTCTTAACCACTGGTTAATCATCAATCCCATCAAAGGAATGCATGGATAACAATTGCCAATAATTAATCAGATAAATCCAGTTCTTTCTGTCTGCCTTCTGAAAAGAACAATTCTTTAACACCAGCCCTCCTAATTTTATCCTGTGCTAAACCAAAACTATAATTTTAATTTTCTATGTACCTTCCCAGATAACCTGCTACATTCTAAATAAAATCACACAAGTGGCTAAGCAAACTTGAGGTAATTATAGACTCTGAAGAGAAGCAAATAACCCTCATCTTAGGAAAGACAGAAGAAAAAAGCAAGACAGAGTAGAAAGGACAAATAATTACAGGGACTCTTGCCCCATTCCTTTCCTGTCTGCCATAAATAGTAAGTCAGTCCTATTAAAAAATCATTCCTGGGGCACCTGGATGGCTCAGTAGGTTAAACACCTGACTTCGGTTCAGGTCATGATCTCACGGTTCCTGAGTTGGAGTCTACATCAGGTCTGTGCTGACAGCTCAGAGCGTGGAACCTGCTTCGGATTCTGTGTCTCCCTGTCTTTCTGTCCCTCCCCCACTCGCACTCTGTCTCTCTCCCCAAAATAATAAACAAACATTAAAAAAAAAATTCCTTTCCTGTAAAAAGCTGAGTCTATGGGTGCACAACACCAATCACAAGCACTTACAGGCTGGTTAATATGAAACCTGGTAGGCATTCGTCTCATTATGGCTGAGTCAAGGTCCTGAGGACGGTTGGTGGCGCCCATAACTATGACCTGGGCATAGAAAGAAAACATAAGGCATTAAATCTACCGATAATGCACCTTTTAGGATGTTATTAATAGGTTAGAGGCTATGGAAAACTAATGAGTGTTTACATCTTCTATAAGAAATGACTTTAATCCAGTATTACTCAAAAATTTATAAAAACAAACCAAAGTTAATTCTAAATGGACCCAATGACAGCAAAGCTGGTAACACTGATGCATTTCAGCAGACTCTTAATTCAGTTACTGAATAATGATGAAGATTTAAGATAAAACAGGTTGTGTTCTGCAATATATAGTTGTTCAGTGGCTACACAGTGACGAACTAAAAGCCATTTATGTTACAGCTTGGGAGTCTATACAGGGGGTAATTCGAGTCCTCCGATACTAATGTTAAATCATTTCCCCCCAGTCTGAGGATTCTGGTGACAGTAATGGAATCCTATACTTTTCTCGCTAGATGTCACATCACCATCTCACAGCCCTATCAACCCTGCTGGTGACATCTGCTCAATGGTGTAATAAATCCTCAAGCAATCAAACTTTCAACAAGGGCAATAATTAATCAGATAAATGCTGGGCAGAAAAAAGAATGAGGTGCCTGGCTGGCTCAGTTGGTAGAGCATGCAACTCTTGACCTCGGGGTCATGAGTTCGAATTTCATGTTGGGGGTAGAGATTACTAAAAAGAACTAAATTAATTTAAAGAAAAAAGAAAAGAAAATGCCAACCTCTGGGCCTATGTCACTTTATTCATAAAGAATGCAGGCATGAAAACTCAACACAAATAAAGACAGAGATATCCAAAACAAGTTAATTTCTGAAAGCCTTCAATCGTAACATTATGGTTGGTATATTTTGTATAACACAATAACAACCCATATTCTGCTACCCAAAATGAAATTTATTGGTATTCTAATGGAAACTTTTCTTTAATATAATTTTATTCCAGCCTAAGAGGTTTTCGACTTCTGAAATAATTTGAAATCTAACTTCCAGAACATTTTGAAAGATCCACTAACTCTTATATTCTACTTCTACTCTACATTTAATGACATTCAAGAGACAAATTATTTTCAATTTAACTGTGAGAGATTGCCACCTAGAGGGGAAAAAGTGTAAATACAAAGGCAAATTTTAGAAATGTTAGTTCCACAATATAATGCATTTTGTATTTGAATAAAGTGGTCCTAAAATCAAAATATTAGCACTCTTACCTTGTTTTCAAATTTACTGACTTTCCACAACCCTATAAAATTAATAAGGTAAAGCAAATGTAAAACAAATCCTAAAGTTATCAAAGGAACTGCATAAAATAATGAACAGAGGTACATTTTGAAATAGACTAGATATTAAGTGTTAGAAGAGATTCAAAGTGATATGGAAGCTTGTAGAAGCCTGGCCATATCAATCTAAAACAAAAACAAGGCAAAACCTAGTATGGAAGATGGGATGCTAAAAATTAGGATCGAGGAATCTAAATAAACCCATCACAACAAGGTCTTATGGATAAATATAGGATGATGACACGTATTCAGATGAAGAAAAAGTGAGTGATTCAAACTACCTGTTTCAGTTAAAGAAGTTGTTTTAGAGTGATTTTAAGGGGCAAAAATGGATCAACTGTACACACACATCTTAACATCTAGTGCAAATGAGCTAAAATTCAAAATGGGAAGAAACAGTACTTTTTTAGTATTTAAGCAGAAGTTAGTGTTTCAGTTGACTTTTCTAGAATCTTTAATACATGTGATGCTTTAACAATTAAAACAGTCAGATCTAAAACTATGCCTGAACCCTTTGCCCATGTCAGTGAATACCCTAAATACACTGTTAACTTGTGTGTGGTCTCAACAGATGAAGACGACGTCATCGGGTACCGTGGATCCCCTGTCCTAGTGACGGGTCTGACTGGGCCACATAGCTACTTTTGTTTGCACTGTGGGATCTCACAAATACAAGAAAAAGCCGGGGTACTGGACTTGATCCGTAACCAAAGAATAGATATATTTAGAGAAAGCCTAACTGGTTCATATGAAAGAATATGTCTAAAACTAATATTCAGGTTAACATCAATTTTAATCCCCCTCAACATGCAAAAAAGGTTGAAGAAATTTATTTTATTAAAAAAGCAACATCTTCATTTTCTCCTGCAAATAAAGATCTATCACAATGAAAACAATAAATTATTACTATCAGGGTAGTAACGAATGATGGTTTTGAAAACCCAGTGTTGTTTTGTATCAGAACCGTGCTGTGTGGCTCTGGAGAATACTTCATCCAAATGCTATTTCCCTGACTTTTAAAACCACCCTCTGATACGAAATAATATTAGACAATTTTCTCCTATATGGGCTAACTATTCAACTAAGTGCTTTCAATATTGTTGCTCAGGAGGATAATCCATTTTTGGAAACCTGTATACTATTCCCATTTTGAACAGATTTATTAGCACCAATTACTAATAAAATTCTTTCTATTAATGTCAACTAAACTTATCCATGTTGTGTTTTCTAATCATTCAGCAAACACTAAAAGCAACTTTCCCTTATAATCAAATTATATTTTCATGAAGGTTATATAGAAGGAGAACATGTGGCTTAATATTCTCTTTAGGAGAATTTTTTTAAAATTTTTTTTAATGTTTTATTTATTTTTAGGAGAGAGAGAGACAGCATGAGCAGGAGAGGGTCAGAGAGAGAGGGAGTCACAGACTGAAACAGGCTCCAGGCTCTGAGCTGGCAGTCAGCACAGAGCCCGACGTGGGGCTCGAACCCACGAACCGTGAGATCATGACCTAAGCGAAAGTCGGACACTTAACCAACTAAGCCACCCAGGCGCACCGAATATTTTTTAATATATTTTTTTTATTTATTTCTAGGAGAGGAGAGAGAGAGACAGCGTGAGCAGGGGAGGGTCAGAGAGAGAGGGAGACACAGACTCCGAAATAGGCTCCAGGCTCTGGGCTGGCAGTCAGCACAGAGCCCGACGCGGGGCTCGAACCCACAAACCGCGAGATCATGACCTAAGCGAAAGTCGGACGCTTAACCGACTAAGCCACCCAGGCGCCACGATGATGTCTTAATTTTTGATTTATGGTAATGTGAATGTAGGAGATCCTTAAACTCTCCAGCTATAAAGCAAAATTAATAAAGTATAAAAAAATCTCAAATTAATAATTCTGCAAAAACGTAAAGGAATTAAGCTGAAGCCAACAGTGAAGGCTATGCACAAGGGAGGCAAGGCAGGGTAGGAGCTGACCAGGTACCACACAGAAATGTACAGATCTTAGGCAGTGGGGTTTACTCTGGACACCTTATGGCCTTAGTGATAAGAGGCCACCCTACATAAAGCTGGGGCTCATGAAGTATCAGGGTCCTAAAACAGTACTGAAGTATGAGAAAACGCATTCAGCAGAGTCAAGCTTTGGTTCCTGGTAAGACGTATAAACACACACAATCCCTAAGATTTCATGGTTCTTCACCAGCTAACCTGGATCTCGCACCTCTATTTACCTATTTGTGTTGAGAAAAATCTAGCAGAAGACAAAAAAAAAAAAAAAAAAAATCCTCTTAGAAGCAACAAACCTTCAACATAGGTTCCAAAAATCTACACACACAGTTTTACCAAATATGACTTTTCCCATGAAATCACAAAACACACAAGCAAAGTCAAATGACAGAATCAGATGTGCAGTCATACATTAGAATTGCTGAATACAGACTACAAAATTAGCATGTTAACATATATAAAGGAATAAAAAAAAAATCACATAGCAAATACTTATGTACTAAGTTAAACCAGGTAAGTTATGAACTTAACTCAAATTCCTTAAAACTACCCAATAGTTTTGAGTGGATGCTATCCTTCCCTTTTTTACAGATAGTACTCCCTAGGGCCATTCAAATACAGAGTGATTATATTATCTGGTCAAAGTCACACAGCCGGTTGATGACCAGGGCTCTAGTTCTCTAGTCCAATTGGAAGCAGGAGTTGATGGGCCAGAGCCCATCAAAACTGACCTGTCAGACTTCAAGAAGGATCTGAAAGAATCTCTAGGACTGAAAAATATAGTAAGTGAACTAATAAGCTCAATAAAAAGGGTAACTAGCAGAAGAGATGCAACTAAAATCAGAACTAGCAAATTAAAGAAAGGTAAAATCATTTCTCAGAACGAAGCACAAAGAGGAAATATGAACGAGAAGCTGAAACACATGGAGTGTAAATAAGGTACACCAATGGGCACTCCATAGGGAGGTCACATGGAGAATGGAGGGAAATGGTATGTGAAGAATGGCTCAATTTTTCAGTTCTGGTTCTAGAACTTCCATTTCTGGTAATACAGCAGAAAAACAAACATGCTGGGTGAGTTTTTTTTTTTCCTTTAACGAAAATACCTTACCGTTCTGGCTGGAAAGTGTGGACTATTCAGAGGAGAAGAACTAAGAGAAAATGGGAACCACAAGAGGAACACTGAACAAGACAGGTGGCTGTCCTTTGGGACCATAGCAGGGGACCTAGTTCTGGTTTTCACAGCCCGCAGGGTGGAGACCAAGCGTAGGATAGAAGAGTTACATAAAAGTGGGATCCTAAGGAAAGTACACGTGGCAGAAAGTGGGAAAGTGTGTGAGTTCCAGCAACTAATGAACACAGTAAAGTGAAACTAAGTGACAGAGGGACCAAGAGGAGAGACTGTAAGATTTATGGTAAAGGGTCTAAACACGCACAGAGTACAGCCACTAGTTGTTTCCTCTGCCGTGGCAGGAGGACCCTCCAGGAGAGGCTTTATCCAGTTTTCTCCTTTCTGTAGTATTTGTTTCAGGCACTTAGGCAATCTTTTAACATTGTGTTTAACACAAAACCCTCAATTATGGTAAGTATATTAAAAAAAAAAAAAAAAACTTTTCTAAAAAAACCTAAGAAATAGCCCGCTAAATTTTCCACTGCCACCCCCCCCATCACCACTGCCACCACCCTTCTACCCCCATCGCCACTGCCACCACCCCCCCCATCACCCATCGCCACTGCCACCACCACCGCCACCCCCCCATCACCACCCTCCCCCTACCAGCTCAAGGCAGATTTCTTTCACACACCTGACAGCTGTGGTCAGTATCCAGTCCATCCCACAGACTCATAAACTGAGCTTTCATCATGGCGGTAGCTTCATGGTCAGAACTTGAACGGTTTCGCAGGAAGGAGTCTAGAAGGAAAAAGTCCTTAACCTTAGAAACTAATATGAATTATTTACTCTTTGTATAACTTCAACTCATTACTCAAAATCTGACAACTCTGTGAAAGAGTACAAGAAAAAGGGCTCAACTATGCCTTTTCACACATTAGTCTGATACAACAATCTTGGCAAATAATTGAGAAATTAAAACACAATCAACTCCCAATCTTCATTTCTTTCCTACCAGCAAATTTAAAGAAGTGCAGGATCCGGTTCTGAGAAGATAAGGATCAAGCAGTGTCTTGAGGAAGGTCTGTATGCTTTGGCCCTAACTTTCCAGGTTATCTGTGTCCTACGTATTCTTAATTGTGGGTACATTCTTTTTCCTCACACACTTTTCCTGGAAATAAAAATGGCACTGGAAAAATGTAAAACACCATTTAGTGGGAAATGCAGGACAGAAAATGGTTTCGAACACACATGCGTACTAGTACACATGTGCACATACGTTATGTAATGTACGTAAGCCTGCAAGAAAATACACCAGAATGTGAATTGCCTACACTACTTCTCAGTGACAGACTTAAGGACAATTCAAATTTTCTCTTGAGCTATTTGCTGTCTTCTCAATCATCTATCTACAAAGAACGTGAAATGCTTTTAAAGCGGGGTGGGAAAACAGTACATCCTAATAATGAAAAAAACACAGTAGTAAGTCCTAGATTTTCTAGTATAATTCTATTTCAAATGCGTTGTCTTCTATCCCTTCAAATAACTGCCATTTCAGCACTGAAACTACAACTTGAAGATCAATCATACATGCGAGTAGCACAGAAATGCTTTGGTCCAAACTTTAACAAAAAAAAATTTTAAAAGTGATTACAGCAGGGGTGCCTGGGTGGCTTAGTCAGTTAAGCGTCCGACTTTCACTTAGGTCATGATCTCGCGGTTTGTGGGTTCGAGCCCCGCGTCGGGCTCTGTGCTGACTGCCAGCTCAGAGCCTGGAGCCTGTTTCAGTCTGTGACTCCCTCTCTCTCTGACCCTTCCCTGCTCACGCTGTCTCTCTCTCTCTCTCCTAGAAAGAAATAAAACATAAAAAAAAAAAAAAAGTGATTACAGCAAAAATAATACCATGAGACGACAGGGGCTTCTGATGACAAATATGCATCCTGGATTTTCTTTTGTAGTCCAGTTTAATACAGTCTGTCCTACTGTGCACAAAACTAACTCAACTATCCTCGATGTAGGAAATGTAGTCATTTTTAAATTGCTTCCTTTTTTATTATTATTTTTTAATGTTTTTATTTATTTCTAGGAGAGAGAGAGAGAGACAGCATGAGCAGGGGAGGGTCAGAGAGAGAGGGAGTCACAGACTGAAACAGGCTCCAGGCTCTGAGCTGGCAGTCAGCACAGAGCCCGACGCAGGGCCTGAACCCACGAACCGCGAGATCATGACCTAAGCGAAAGTCGGACGCTTAACCGACTAAGCCACCCCGGCGCCCCAAATTGCTTCCTTTTAAAGACACTATGTGTAAGTACAGCTGCCTACTTACGCACGTAATTCTGCTATCAAGTATTCCTAATCTTCTCCATTACTAAGAAGTTGGTTCTGGCAAGACAACTGCTTGAAATAATATAAAAAACTTAAAATGCTAGGTCAGTGTAAATAACCTAACTATGTCAGTAATTACATTAAATGTTAAATGTAGGACCACCTGGGGAGCTCATGTCAGTTAAGCGTCTGACTTCAGCTCACGGTTTGTGGGTTCAAGCCCTGCATCAGGCTCGGTGCTGACAGCTCAGAGACTGGAACCTGCTTGGGATTCTGTGTCTCCCTCCCTCTCTGCCCTGCCCAGCTTACATTCTGTCCCTGTCTCTCAAAAGTAATGAACACAGAAGAAAAATTAATGAAAAAATGTTAAATGTAAACGGTCTAGAGACCCACAGGGGGGTTAAGAAATCAGACTGGATTAAAAATAACAAACCCAACTTTGTGCTCCTTACAAGGGACACACTTTAAATCTAAGAGCTCAGAATGTTGCAAAGGATAGAAAAAGACATACATGTAAATAGTAACAAAAAAAAGTTGGAAAAAATATATTTTAAAGGTAATGCATAACTGACAAATGGTGCTAGAACAACTGAACATCCAAGTGCTAAAAATATATATAGACAAAGACCTTATACTTTGCACAAAAATTAACGGAAAATTGATTCTAGATCTAAATGTAAAACAAAACAAAACAAAAAAACCTGTAAAGCTTCTAGAAGATAATATAGGAGAAAATCTAGGTTGCCTTGAGTTTGGTGATGAGTTTTTACATACACCAAAAAAGTGATTGATCAAATAAAAACAGTTAAGTTGGACTTTATTAAAATTAAAAAATGTATGGAAACCAACCTAACAATAAACTATATTAAAAAATAAATAAAATAAAGGTACATTACTTAAAAAATTAAACTAAATTAAAAAACGCTTAATAAAGAAAAAAAAATTAATACTTCTGCCTTGTGGAAGACACTGGCTACGAGAAGAGATAAGCCAGGGCTCCTGGGTGGCTCTATTGGTTAAATGCCCAACTTTGGCTCAGGTCATGATCTCACAGCTTGTGGGTTCCAGTCTCACATCCGGCTCTGTGCTGATGCTCAGGCAGAGCCTGGAGCCTGTTTGGGATTCTGTGTCTCCCTCTCTCTATGTCCCAACCCCCACACTCTCTCTGTCTCAAAAATAAATAAACATTAAAAAAAAAAAAAGAGAGATAAACTACAGACTAGGACGAAAAATTTTCAAAATACTTATCTGATAAAAAATGTGTATCCAAAATATACAAAGAACATTTAAAATTCAATAATAAGAAAACAACCCAATTAAAAAATGGGCAAAAGACCTGAACTCACACTTCAAAAAAGATACATGTATGGCAAATAAGCACATGAAAAGATGTTCCACATCCTACGTCATCAGAGAACTGTAACCTTAAATGACAATGAGTCATCGCTACACATCTGCCAGGATCGCTAAAATCCCAAAACGCTGATAATATCAAGTGACGGACAAGATGCTGAGCAATGGGACCCCTCATTTACTATGGAACTAAAAAACCATAGAGCCATTTTGGAAGGCAGTTTAGTGATTTCTTACAAAGTTAGGATCCAGCAAATGCACTCCCAGGTGTTTACCCAGTTGAGCTGAAAATGTTTGTCCATGCAAAATCCTGCACATCACAGCTGTTAGCAGCTTTATTCATAATTGCCCCTAACCGGAAGCAACCAAGATATCCCTGGGCAGACGAATGGATAACAACTGGTGTTATCCACACAACGGAATATTACTCAGCCAGAAAAAGAAATGAGCTCCCAAGCCACAAAAAGACACGGAGGAGCCTTAAAGGCATGTTGCTAAGTGAAAGAAGCCAGTCTGAAAAGGCTCCATTATCGCATGATTCCAGTTATGATATTCTGTACAAGGCAAGACAGTGAAAAGACCAGTGGCTGCTGGGACTTCAGGAGTTTAGGACGAACAAGTGGAGCACAGGAGGTTTTCAGGATGATGAAACTATTCTGCCTGAGCTGGAATGGTAGACACATGACATTATGCATTAGTCAAAGCCTAGAGACTGTAAGCACAATGACCCTTAATACAGACTACGGACTTTACTAATACAGGCTTATAAATTATAACAAATGTGTCACACAAATGCCAAGTACTGATAACAGGAAAACTGTGTGTGCAGGGGTGCACACATGAAAACTTTCTAAGTTCTTTCTGTAAACTTAGAACAGTCCTAAATAACAAGATCCAGTTAAAGAGAAAAACAGCTTCAGAAATATCTGAGGTTGTGGGAAAGAGAAAAACAACCATCAGGACTCAGGAGGTAAGTGGTGCAGGCGTGCGGTGCTTGTGCCACCATGGACGCATGCTGTGTACATGGCAGGAAGGTAGGGGTGCGTGTTCAGCTTCGGTGTTAACATCTACATGGAGAACAAGCTGCTCGAAAGGGTGTACACTCACACAAAGTATAGACAAGGAAAAAGTCCTGCTCACTACTCCCGGGAGCTAAAGGCCAAGTCTGTCTTGGTCTAGGCTCTGGGGTAACAGGTCTCCCCTGAAAAATAAAGAACCAAGATCACAGGGGCTCTCCCTCAGGCATGAAGACAGGATCAGTCTAGGAACATCCACATGGAGATTATCATCAAAGTTAGTCTTACACAGAGGTTCTAAGAGGAAGACAGGAAAACCACTCTGACTGTCTTTAGGCAACAAGGAATCTGCTATACAAACAAGCTGTAAGCTATCTAATGTGAGCAATGAGCCAAGGAAATAAGTTAGTATGAAACAGTTAACAACACAAAGGAGAAGTAGAATTTCAGACACAATCCAAAAAAACTATGTATACTAGGATGCTTAAAACTGAGACATTAAAGGGGGTTAGCTGCATGGCTTAGTTGGATTAAGTCTCCGACCTTTGATATCGGATCAAGTCAAATCTCAGTCATGAGATTGAGCCACATGTAGGGCTCTACACTGACAGCAGAGCCTGCTTAGGATTCTCTCTCTCCTCTCTCTGCCCCTCCCCCCACTCATGCAGTCTCATGTCTCTCTCAACATAAATTTAAAAAACCTGAGACATAAAAGGGATTGAAATTCAAACAGAAGAGTAACTACAGTGAAAAAAATTAATTTGAAAGAGAATCAAATAGAACTTCTCAACTTCAGATATAATCAACATAATACAAACCCAATGGTCGTGACATTAACATAGCCAAACAAAGAATTGCTGTTTAAAACTTGAAGATTGATTTTTTTTAGTTGCACCATTATTTTATGTATCAACAAAGTTTTAAATGTTGCCAAGTAAATTATAATACTAAAAGAAAAAACTCTGCCATTTAAATTATAACATGGTATCCCAATTTCAGAAAGGTTAAAATGTAAACAACAAAATGGTATATTTTAGAACTGATGAAATATGGAGAGAGAACTTGATGTGGAAATGACTCAAAATTAAGCAGAGAAGTGAAGAGTGTGTATATACATATAAGCAAACATATGTATTTATAAAATGGAAGTCTTGCCACAATCAAAGATTCTGAGAAGTTTTTTGGAATTAATGAAAATCACAAATCATCAGATTAAGAACCACAGTAAGTCTCAGTGTGATAATAAAATAAATACAGCCCTAGAAAAACCACAATCAAATAGGAGAACAAGATAAAAATCTAATAACAATAGAGAGAAAAGATAAAATTACTTACAAAGAAATATTTGACTATAAGCAGAATTCTCAATTCTCAAGCAATAACAAAGACTGGAAGACAATGCACTTGTAGCTTCAAAATGCTGAAGAAAAATAATTCTGTTATCATTTAGGAGTGAAGGTAGAATTAACACATTTTCACCCCAAGACAGAATTTACTGTATTCACGATCTTTGCTGAAAGAGCTTGACAAACTGCAGAGAAGGGAGTTAAATCCATACAAGGCAGGTGTGTAAAGAAGCAACCGTGAGCACAGAACGAGCAGATGTGGTCTCTACACAAGCACTGCCAGTACAGGCGTAACGACCAGCGTGCAGATGAGCACACGCGAGAAGCGTCAACATGTAAGTGATGAATGGGATGACCTGTGCAAGAGTGCTAAGGTCCCTGTGTTGTTTGGGAGGAGGGCAGAAACGATTAGCGTAGACTTAAAGGCAAGTAGGTATTCTAAATGTTTCACTAAAGAAAAAGAATATGTTACTTCTAAACCTGAAGCAGGGAAGAGGGGATAAAGAAAAGTCCACTAGACTGGTAAATAAAAAGCACACAATAATGTGGCAGAAATAAATCTAAATACACGAGCTATCAAAATAAAGGCAGACTGACCACTCCTCCTAGTTAAGGCGTCTTAGATTAAAATTTTTAAAATTCTAGCTATATGCGCTTTTGTGCAAAATTCACACCAAAACTCCAAACTAGCTGTAATAAACCAATGAGAGACACACAAGACAGGCAAATAACCAAGTACTGTATATCTATACCTATTTTTCTCTATTTCTACACAGTCTATCATATTACATATAACGATATAACTAATTCAAAGCTATAGGTTCAATTTACCTAGCTCTAGTATGACTTACCACACTAGGAACAGGACCAAAAATACGGATGAGCCATAAAATACAGAAAAGGTACACTAATAGAAAAGTCACGACATATAGGGAAAGACCACCTATTTTATAAGTTGGCTGTCCAACTGGAAAAGAATGAAATTAGATTCCTACTTCAAAATATACACTTGGAAAAGAGAGATATTTATGGGGGTAGAGAAAAATTTGTAAGCCAGACGCAAAAAGTATAAATCATAAAAAAAAGATATATAACCTACATTTAAATTTAAATTTCCATAAAAGAAACTATCATAAAATGAAAAGACAAGCCAGTCTAGAAAATATTTGCAATCATAATAAACATCAACAAAGAACTGCCAAGAAAATGCAAATAACCCCAAAGAAAAACTGGAAGTTTACAAGCAAGGAAACTCAGTGACTAGTCAACATGTTAAGAGATGCCCAAATTTCCCAGCAGTGCAGGGAAACACAAAACAATGATAATTCATATTCTTTAAGTTGACAAAAAAATCAATGATTGGATCTGAAAAAACAAATTTTAGGGGTATGCAGGGAAACTATGTAATTGAGAGAGTGAAAACAGGTAGAACCACTTTGAAGAACTGATAATCCCAGTGAGGCTGAAGACAGACACATCACATAAGCTGACGGTCCAACTTCTGGGCATGCAGCCTGGACAAGCACCTGCTGAAAGAAATATGGACATGGGTGCCCACCGCATGCTGTGTGTAATACGGAGAAGACAGAAAACTACTATTAGGCAGCAGAACGAACAGATGATGGTTCATTCTGGAATATGAAAATTATACACAGCGTATAAGGGTGTTGGTGATCTCTTTCGTGTTATTAATCTGCCCTAATAAGTGCTGAAAACTAAATCTGGTCATCTAAATACCTCCCCTAAGAATGGCGCTATAAAATGTTCACACAGAAAAGTCACATACCTATTTCATCTATAAAAATGATGGAAGGCTGTAGCTTTATGGCAAGGGAGAAGACCGCAGCAGCCAACTTCTGAGACTCTCCGTACCACTTATCTGTCAGCGTTGAAGGCTGAAGGTTAATGAATCGACAGCCTGCTTCTTTGGCGGTAGCCTTGGCAATCAATGTTTTACCACAGCCTGGAGGCCCATAGAGAAGAACTCCTGCAAATTAACATGTTATTTCATTATTTAGGTTTTTATGCGATAATCAACTTAATATTAATTCTGCCCACACTAAAATTTCCCCCGACATTCACTTGTTATCATTAACCTTTTTTTAGTAGTAGAAAAGGAAGGTGCCACTTTCCAAGTTCAGTGTCAGCGACGACTATAAAATTACAGCATGCTTGTGCCTTCTCCCTTCAATGGAAGGTCTCGTTCAGGATCACCCTGACCTCCAAACTCACGCCACTCGATTCGTGGTTGACAAATAAAATGGTCCAATGCCCCCCGCCTTCACAAGCCAACAGGGCACTACAGCACATTAGACCAGCCCAGAGAAAACAGAGAACTTCTTCAAAACAGGCTGCAGCAAATACCATTTAGATGTTACTGAGACGTAAGTTTTAGCCAAAAGGGCACATGCCTTTTCCCAAACAGATAATGATCTCTTCTTCAAAGGAACAAAAGCTGCCAGTCACTTCTGTATTACTTTCCAAGGAATAAAACTGCATTATTAACCTATAGTCTCCAAAGAGTAATTTGCCACTTTATACAATTTAAGGTAATTCTTTTAATATGAGAGATTTAAACTGGTTGAGGCTTTGGACATTTTGGGAATCATCACCAACTGTTTTTCAACTAAAATGAAGTAACATTTTTCTATGTTAACAGTAAAATTATGTTCCTGGCTATAGATCATCTGTAGACAGGCCTGACAAAAATTATAATCTGCAGACTTAAATATTTGCTTAATTCAGAGCTTCTCTACTTTTCTCATGTCAGCACTTAAAAAGACAATATTTACAGGTAGCACGCTAGGGTAAAAGGAAGAGGCTTTGGAGATTTCCAAAGTATTATTATGTAATAAAAATAAAATACAGGGGTGCCTGGGTGGCTCAGTCAGTGAAGCATCTGACTTCAGCTCAAGTCATTATCTCACAGTTCCCGGGTTCGAGCTCAGAGCCTGGAGCCTGCTTCAGATTCTCTGTCTCCCTCTCTCACTGCTCCTTCCCCGCTCACTCTGTCTCTGTCTCTCAAAATAAAATAAAGACATAAAAAAAACTTTTTTTAAACCCAAAATATTATGTAATAAAAATAAAATATAAGGGCACTTGGGTGGCTCAGTCAGTTATGCATCTGACTTTGGCTCAGGTCATGATCTCATAGTTCATGGATTCGAGCCCATGTCGAGCTCAGAGCCTAGAGTCTGCTTGAGTTCTGTGTCTTCCTCTCTCTCTCTGCCTCTTCTCTGCTCATTCTCTCTTTCTCAAGCATAATAAACATTTTAAAAATACAAAATATAAGAAAAGTATTTTGTATTAAAATCTCACCTTGACTAAATTTTCATTTTTTTCTTTTTAATGAGAAGCTTGAGCTTGATTCCATAAAACAAATATTTTTGACACCAAGCTCTTCAAAATAATGTTCAGGCACATAAACTTTTCCTCAGGCACAGATTTTTCTAGTGGTCCTCATAATTCTTTACGAATTAATAAGTTTAATCATCTTACTTTTCTATTTTAAAAGCTATTTTAAAATTTAAATCAATAACCTTTGCCAGTACATGTTAATATTTCCATGCAGCCCTTTACAATTTTTAATTAAGTTCATCTGGGTGTAAAAAATTTAGTTATATCACTTATAATTTGAACCCCCTACTGACACTTTTCCTTTGGACACTTTTCCCCTATTGTGTTGTTCATGTGAACAACACAGAACAGTAGTCTAATGCTGTTTAATTCACATCAAACTGAAAACATACAGGGTGACTACAGATGCCTGGAACTGTCATCACATTTGTTACTCTGATCATATTAATATGGAATGCAGATCCAGAAACTTTTATACGCATACTACTTGGATCTTAGGGTTTTCTGAGCAAACTTTTGATGCAAACGTCCTCGTATCTTGATTACTTTGTGACTACAGCACATGCCACGTTGACTTTGCGGCCACAGGACACCTCACAAACTTGGGCAAGTGTTCCTAGAATGTCCCCTTTAATTTCAAGTATTCATTCATCACTTTGAGTTTTTTATTCCTAATAGTTTAGTTTGGCAATCCTTAGCAGGATTAGGGTTTTCCTATTATTTCTCTTCAGGAATTACAATTAGTGTTACTAATTAAGCACTTTTTTATAGGTTTTTTTTTTTTTTTTTTTACAAAGTCTGAAACTCAACATTGAAGGCTTTGGTATTTCATAATCTTCTGGAGGCCAGACACAATAGGGGAGGTGCTTGTATGCATGTATGGAGCAGGGAGTGCTCATTTCCTGCCTTGGGTGGTAGCTATGCAAGTGTGAGCTTTACAATCATCCATTTAGCTATTTTACCCCCATTTCCGCATGTCACTTCACTAAGACTCACATTGTCTCACCCCGCATGTTACTAATGAGTCTAGCAGTAACACTGTTTGTAAGGGCCACCTTCTCTATATCCTTTGTGGGATGAATTCTACCATGTTCGTGCTTAGGAAGACTGATACATGACATAGCCTGCAATGAATGTGAGGCCTCCGGCTTCCATTATGAGTTTTGCAATCTTTTAACTAGGTTTTTTTGTTCAGTCTGATACTCTTACAACCATTTTCAATAAAACGAAAAACTATGATTACTTCATGCTCCGTAGAGGCTTAAAAATTCAAACCCCTCTTTAATGTGGATGTTCTGATAAGGGCTTTACTTCCTAAGTACTACAGGCAAATGAAAGATTTAGGATGAGGAAGAAAAGAAGAATAGGGACAAGAGGTCCAAATTTGAAATAATCCTCATTAGTGACAAATATATTACCTTATGAGTAACCAACATTTTTCTTTTTTGAACTAGCTTACTGACTTTCAAGCTTTAATAAAAAAATTGTCCAAATGGTGGAAAAGTAAATATGTGTAAAAACTAACTCTATTTAAATACAAAGTACTCAATGAGGTGGAGGGAGACGTTTACAGCCCCAGAAAAATCACTTCTCAAAGTATATTTTTCCTAAGTTACCTACATTTTCAAGAAGCATCAAAACATGGAACATGATAAAATTCACAAACATAAAATCTATGTGCCAAAATAATGATTACCGAAGCCAGAGTTTACAAAAAGAACCATATGTACTCAGACTGAATTTTAATTATAAATTTTTAAACATTTGGAAGAAAACAGGGTTACTTTCTTAATGCAACCATTAACATTTTATGGCATATTCTTGTAACCACGCAGTGGTAGCCGATCTATCTTCATGTGACCGGCTGATCTCATGTGCTATTAGAAGTCATTCTCAAATCACCCTTGTGTGGTCTGTAAGGCAGTGCGGACTTTTTTTTTTTTTTTAAATATTTTTTTATTTATTTCTAGGAGAGAGAGAGAGACAGCGTGAGCAGGGGAGGGTCAGAGAGAGAGGGAGACACAGATTCCGAAATAGGCCCCAGGCTCCGAGCTGGCAGTCAGTACAGAGCCCGACGCGGGGCTCGAACCCACGAACCGCGAGATCATGACCTAAGTGAAAGTCGGACGCCTAACCGACTAAGCCACCCAGGCGCCCCGGCAGTGCGGACTTTTAACCTAGAAGGCAATAAACTGTCCAGGGAGAACATAAAATTGGCAATAAAGCAACGACTCTAACTACATAACCTAATTCCAGTTAACAAACTAAGGTATACAACTGATTTTACGCTCTTCTTCTGTACGCTAACATCTGATTTATGCTGAGGGTCAAAAAGTAAATTAATGGCTTTTCAAATTTTGTTCCTGATACAACCTTTCCAAAAACGCAAGGCTGAAAAGCTCAAACAGTATAACTTTAAGAAATACACATGTAACTTAAAAAGTCTGAAGCACACAGAGAAACCACCTCTAGTTTTGGACAATGCTTTCAAAGAAGCGCTGGATATACACGGGACTCTGAAGTACCCCATCGTAATTTGGTATCTACTGTGTTAACTGACTGGAGCTTTAAACCAAGCGCAGCTGGTACAGTCACCCAAGTACCTGGGCGGAGCCATTGCTGATGAAGCCTGGAACTTTCTCTAATAGCACAGAAAACACAGCATACTTCTCTCCCATCCCAGTACTAACCAGGCCTGAGCCTGCATCTGACTTTTCTAACTTCACTAATTGAGAAACTGCGACATGAAAAATCACAAAAGTTCTTTCTTGTTCAGACTACCAATGACCTGGGAGAGGGTAAAGAACTACATAAACCAATTTGTACTTTACTCTTTTGATCTCGGCTCAGATAAATCATTTGCAATTTTCTCTGGGGGAAAAATGTTTAAAAACAATGAACTCGGGGCGCCTGGGTGGCTTAGTCGGTTAAGCGTCCGACTTTCACTTAGGTCATGATCTCGCGGTTCGTGGGTTCGAGCCCCGCGTCGGGCTCTGTGCTGACTGCCAACTCAGAGCCTGGAGCCTGTTTCAGTCTGTGACTCCCTCTCTCTCTGACCCTCCCCTGCTCACGCTGTCTCTCTCTCTCTCTCTCTCCTAGAAATAAATAAAAATATTTAAAACAAACAAAAAAAAAAACCAATGAACTAAATGCTTTTTCTTAGAGGAAAAAACAGGAAGTTTTGTTGTCTCAGAAAATAAAAAGAAATACCTAATGAACAGTTTTGTTTTAGTTAATGAAAAGAACATGTCATCATCCTGTATTTACCAGGAGTAAAAATTATCTACTTCATGAAAATGTACAGATATTGGCCTCAATCAGTTTTGAAATATAAACTGATGCATTTTGATAGAACTACAAAATTAATAAGATTATAAGCAACCATTAACATATATAGCACTATTTTGATATTTCTAAAGATCTTATTTTCTTTTAAATGTGTCTAATAATTTGATTTCAGCCTTGACTAGCAATGGAAGAGCTAACCTTTCTGGTTTGGGGAATACAAGAAAGAGCAGTTTCCACTCTTTCCTCCGCTGTAGCGTTTGTGTGGGAATGCCATGGTATCACAACATGTAGTTACCTCACTGCCAACTATCACTGAACCTCCATGGGAATCACCTTTCCTAACACTGAAACAGGATTCATATTTGAACGGACAACAATAAAAGTGCTACACGTAAGGATAGAGCTACAAGCATTTCCATTTCTTTTTTTTTTTTTTTAACATTTACTCATTTTTGAGAGACAGAGAGGCAGAGCAAGAGCAAGTGAGGGGCAGAGAGAAGGAGGCACCGAGTCCAAAGCAGGCTCCAGGCTCCGAGCTGTCAGCAGAGCCCGACGCAGGGCCTGAACCTACGGACCAGACCGTGAGATCATGACCTGAGCCGAAGTCAGACGCTCAACCGACTGAGCCACTCAGGCGCCCAAGCATTCCCAGTTCTTGAGTTCTGAGCTTTCAAAGCGATTGCTAACTAGGAATAAGGAAGTATTCCTTAAAAATAATTAGCATTTAATTTCTAGTTCATCTGTACTTCAGTATTTCCTCTAAAACACCACTGCAATACAAAAATAATGATTACTAAAAGGGAGGTAAAATATCACTAAATTGTGAGACAACAAAGAGAGTTCTTACTTTGAAAACAAAAGAACCCATACTACGACCTTGGATTTTTCAATTTCAATTTCCCCAATTTTTATTTACTTGGAAGTAATAAAAATGAGTTTGCAATAAAAAGATTATTTTGACATGTAATCATAGGGAAGGAGTTTGACCTAAATTTGGGAAGCTGAAGAATGAGCAATTATTTTAAAACTACTATTTATAAACAGCTCACTGGATTTCAGTATTCTCTTCAACATCCAACCTCACCAATACCAATTCTATAATGGCAGAAAGTTTCAATGTTTCCTACATTTTTAATACTTTAACAAATGTAAACTTTTACCATACCCTTTGGAGGCTGCAGAAGCCTGGAATTTTCAAACAAATGCTTCTTTTTGATAGGTAAGATGACTGTGTCTTTCAGATCCGTAATGACATCATCCAGACCTGCTATATCACTCCAAGTAACCTGATAAAAGGTAAGATCAACATGAATTTTACAGCTTACATATATTCCATAAAGTTAAAAAAAAAACCAAAATGGCAAACCTTGATCTGATAATTATATGTAAATAACAAAAGATTAATATATAATGCCAGTAAAGACTTTTACAGCAACACTGAAATTATTAAAATTACTATGAGATTACAAAAAGGAATTAATAGTCAACTATCTACTATAAAAAAAAAAAAAAGCACTAGGCCCAGCACTCAAAACTCTACAGGGATTTAATAAGCTGCATTCACTCCGTGTAACAGGGAATACTCCTCCAACAAGACGGAGAACCAGTCAGAAAAAGTCAGCGCTGGCTGATAGGGAAGCGCGTACCAGGAGTGTCCCTAATTCATACAGGGTACTGCCAAACACAAGAAGGCATTCTGGGAATAAAGTCACACAAAACCAGACTTCTGAATTTTATTAATCAAAAGTAAAACTGTTTGAAAACAAAACTTTTTCTTTGTAAGTAGTAAATGGGGGATATATACTGTCAAAATAAGCACAGCCTATGTATTTTAAAGCCTTCTGGCTCAACTTAAAACACTGAGGCTGGGAGCAGAGCGGGGAGGGGGAGAAACAACAAACTGAAAACAAACCTAGGGGAAAAAAAAAAAAAAATCAACCTAGCTCTAACTTGGCAGAATAAAGAAGCTGAAGGTGGGGTGAGTCAGAAGCCATATTTACAAGAAATTTACTTTCACTACAACTTACAAAAAAAAAAAAAGGTGAAAAACCACAGCCAAATCTGAAAAAAATCACCTACTTCCACTGTAGCTGTAACAAAAAAGGGAGTCTGTTAGTACAGCCTTACTCAAAGTGGTGAACACAGGGCCAAGAAATCCCACTATAAATTTATAAATCAAATTCAAATGGGGGATTAATTCTGGGGACACAGATACTAACACACATTGTAGACTTATTTTCTAGACTTGGAGGCAGGAATATCATATTTTTTCTATTTATCTATATCTGTTATACAAAACCTATTTATACCTGCCTTTATGAAATATTCACATAGGAATTTAGAGTTTATAAATTACATTAATCTGATCCTCCAATAATCCTTTAGAAGTAGGCAGAGCAGGTATCACACCATCCCTGGATTATACATGAGGGGGCTAACACTCAAAGAGGAAATAATTTGCCAAGGCCATGAATGGAAAAAATTGAGAATCTTGTGTTGTCTACTATATCTTATTATGAAAATCTACATTTAAACTCCAAATCAAATACCCACATAACTTAAAGCAATCCGTTTTATATGCCACAAAGGTAAATACATAAAAGAACAAGTTTATCTAAACAAGTGTGTGCCAAAAAAGGTTAACACAGCAGGCCTCAGACTGTCGTCCTTAGAAAGGCCCATCTGCAAGGCTGGCCTGCGGCTGGAGTATGGGAGCTTAGATTTGGGGAGAACTCCTCCATTTCCCAATACGAACATCTCACTGTACCTAACCTGTTTGTGCAAACAAAACGGGTTACGGTAGACATCTGTTTTCCCTCTAAAAGTCTGGAATTTTGGTAGATTTTAGGATGTGGAGTCTACATGACTAGTCCCAATTAAAACCCTGGGCACTAAGTGTCTAATGAGCTTCCCTGGCGGACACAGCACTTTACACTTGCTCACAACCTGCTGCTGAAGGAATTAAGTATGACTTCACTGGGAGAAGGCTGTGCTTGATTTCTTTCAGACTTCACTCCATGTCCCTTTTCTTGCCGATTTTGCCTTGTATCCTTTTGCTGCACTAAACCACATCCGTGAGCACAAAACTATGCCGATTCCTGTGATTCCTCCTAGAGAATCATCACATACGGTCATCTTCAGGACCCGACACAAAATCTTATCTTAAATAAGACTGAAGATACGTACATGCATGTTAAGAGGGTCTACGAGATGAGCAGCGATACTCATTTCATATTCTGAAAGCTTCACATTTTTCACACCAATCTGTTTCATTAATTTTTCTGCCTAGAACAAAAAAAAAACAACAAAAAAACAAGCAACTTCCTTTAGTTTGATATTTGGGTATTGGCACTTCAAAAGAGATTATCTGCGAAGTCGAAAGAGCAATGAACAGACATACAAGAATTTTCCTGGGAAATTCTAGGCTCCTTGATCTCCTCTTTCCCCACTGTAAGCCCTTAGGTAAAGAAAAAATGTGAGTGTCTAACTCCACAGAAACCAGGGCAATTTCCACCAGCTCCTAGGAAATGAAAAAATTAGAGTACATGATTGATGAGATACATATAGGACTTTGCACTGCTCCCATGTGACTCTAGGGTCCAACCTGATATACTTTCTAGTAGGACCATCATGACAGGTGCAGGTGAAACCTCCAGATGACAGACAGAGCAGGTAAGCATATCAAAAAATGGACAAGTGGAGTTTCTTTCCTTAAAGCAAGTTTCCAAGAACAGATGCTTAACTTCCTTCAAATTATCCAGTTATTGACACCAGGTGCCCATGGCTATCAAATTCCAAATTGTTCTGAGATGCTGTCCTTTTTTGGTTAAAGCCAATTCCTGGGACTAGGCAACCAGAGGTAATAAATTCCAAATTCTAAATTATGGGCCATCTGGGTGGCTCAGTTGGTTAAGTGTCCGACTCGTAGTATCAGCTCAGGTCATGATGTTGTGGGTGTGAGATCGAGCCCTGAGTTGGGCCCCGCGCTCAGCTCGGAGCCTGCTTGGGATTCTCTCTCTCTGCCCCTACCTTGTGAGTGCTCGCATTCTCTCTCTCTCTCTCTGAAAAATAAACACCTAAAAAATAAGTAAATAAATTAGAAGTATATTTGCATATATATTTTTAGAGCTGGACAAAACTAACCTGAAACCTATGAGCTCTAGCAATACAGCAAAGATTTCAATTAAAATTAAAAAAAATAATAATAATTACGAACATTTACTGAATGGGCCAAACCATGTGCCAAAGTATTGTAAATGGAGTAGCTCACTGAACCCCCGAGTGAGCCTATGGGGTAGGTACAATTTCTCCTCACCACAGAAAAAGAAATCAATGCTTATTAGCTCAGATGAAATTATCTGTCTCAGGTTCAAGTCAGCAAACGGAAGAGACAACATACATAGGCCGGCAGCCCGGCTCCTCTGGCCTCCTCCCACATGACCTTGCTTTCCCCAATTGTAACAGGAGGCACTGTAACCACTAAGGAGTCTTAAAAAGACTACAGAAAACATATCCAAATTTCAATTAAGTGAACATTTTTAGAATTAAAAGTGCTCTGAAAAATACCTAAATTTTTGTTTACCAACAACAATTCACCAACCTAAGATCAAGAGTCACATGTTACACCAAGTGAACCAGCTGGGTGCCCCTAAAATACTTTTGATTTAAGATCTTGCTTTTGTTAGGAGGTATCGCTGCTCTAAAAGGAAATTCATCTCACACAGCGCTATAGTTATAGACGGCTTAGAGCATTAGATTAATGTGGATATATCAGGATAAATCATATCCTAGTAATACAGCATTTTTAAAATAAAAAACCACATCGGTTTTCCTATTTAGCCCTCCCCTATAAAATTACTGACTCAACAAAGTAATAAAGTAGCCTTTTCCAGGTTCTTTAATCTCTTCCTTGTAAATATCTTCTCTTTTGCTGATTTTAAATCTTTCATGTGTCAGCCATGAAAGATATACTATTTTAGTATCTGTAATGACAGTAATTATTCTTTTCCATTATGCTTCTATAAATGTGCAGCCATCCCACATGTGTTCTTTTTAGGCTATGCTGTAAAACACTGGTTCCCAACAGGTGACTCTGCCCCCCAGGGGACATCTGGCAAGATATGGGAATACTTCTGGCTGTCCCAACCTGGAGGCAGAGGGTGTTCTTTGTATGTAGTCAGCAGAGACAGGCATGCTGCTTAACATTCTGAAAGACACAGCATAGCCTGCCCCCCAGCCCATTATCTGGCCCCAAACGTCAATAGTGCCTAGCTGAGGAACCCTGCTTTCCCCCTACCCCACCCCATTGGCTAGTTGCGCTTTAATTTTTACTCTAGGGCAAAAACGCCTCTTGCTTTAAACAAACTTTATTTGTTCATAGCAGCACTCTCAACAATAGCTAAAACATGGAAAGGGCCTAAGTGTCCACCAACGGACGAATGGATCAAGAAGATGTGGTTCATCTATACGATGGAATACTACATGGCAATGAGACAGAATGAAATCTGGCCATGTGTAGCAACATGGATAGACCTTGAGGGTGTTATGCTGAGCGAAGTAAGTCAGGTAGAGAAAGACAAATATCATATGTCTGCACGTATAGGAGGATTAGGAGGAACTTAACAAAGGACCAAAAGGAAGAAGAAGGGAGGAAATGATGGAGGAAAGGGAGAGAGGCAAACCATGAGAGACTCTTGAATGCTGACAAAAACTGAGGACTGATGGATGTGGGGGGTGAGGGGGGATGGGCATGGAGGAGGGCACTTGTGGGGATGAGCACTAGGTGTTATGTGGAAACTAATTTGACAATAAACTATTTGTAAAAAATAAAAAAATAAATAAAAAATAAAAAAATATTAAACTTGAAAAAAATAAACAAACTTTATTTATGTCAGGGATTTCCTACATAAAAATTATGAACTATGTTATTTATGTTACAGAGATAGAAAATGCTGTGGTCAAATTTACCTAAAATCTCTTCCCCATAAAAGCAGTCCAATTTAAGAATATCTTCATGGAACAAGAGCAGACACTCAGATCAATGGAACAGAATAGATATTACAGAAACGGACCCAAAAATGTATGGCCAACTAATCTTTGACAAAGCAGCAAGGAATATCCAATGGAATAAAGACAATCTCTTCAGCAAATGATGCCAGGAAAACTAGACAGTGACATGCAGCAAATGAACCTGGACCATTTTCTCACACCATATACAAAAATAAACTCAAAATGGATGAAAGACCTAAATGTAAGACAGGAAGCCATCAAAATTCTCGAGGAGAAAGCGGGCAAGAACCACTTTTTTTTTTCGTGTTTTATTTATTCTTGAAACAGAGAAAGACAGGTCATGAGCAGGGGAGGGGTAGAGAGAGAGGGGGACACAGAATACAAAGCAGGCTCCAGGCTCAGAACTGTCAGCACCGAGCCTGATGCGGGGCTTGAACTCATGAACTGTGAGTTGGATTTTTAGCCAACTAAGCCACCCAGGCACCCAGGCAAGAACCTCTTTGACCTTGCCTGCAGCAATTTCTTACTCAACACGACTCCAGAGGCAAGGTCAACATAAGCAAAAATGAACTACTGGGATCTCATCAAAATAAAAAGCTGCTACACAGCAAAGGAGACAATCAGCAAAACTAACCAACAGAATGGGAGAAGATATTTGCAAACGACATATCAGATAAAGGGTTGGTATCCAAAATTTATAAAGAACTTATCAAACTCAACACCCAAAAAACAAATAATCCAGTGAAGAAATGGGCAGAAGACATGAAGAGACACTTCTCCAAAGAAGACATCCAGATGGCCAACCAACACATGAAAAAATGCTCAACAACACTCATCATCAGGGAAATACAAATCAAAACCACAATGAGATACCACCTCAGACCTGTCACAATGGCTAACGTTAACAACCCAGGTAACAACAGATGTTGGCGAGGTTGTAGAGAAAGGGGGTCTCTTTTGCAGTGCTGGTGGGAATGCAAACTGGTACAGCCACTCTGGAAAACAGTATGGAGGTTCCTCAAAAAATTAAAAATAGAACTACCCTATGACCCAGCAATTGCACTACTAGGTATTTATCCAAGGGATACAGGAGTGCTGTTTTGAAGAGGCACATGCACCCCAATATTTATAGCAGCGCTATCAACAACAGCCGAAGTATAGAAAGAACCCAAATGTCCATCAATGGATGAATGGATAAAGATGTGGGGTGGATATATACACACGCACACACACACACACATATATATATAATGTACGTATACGTATAGGAATATTACTCAGCAATCTAAAAGAATGAAATCTCACCATTTGCAACTAACTATGTGGATGAACTGGAAGGTATTATGCTAATCGAAATTATTCAAAGACAAATATTATATGACTTCACTCCTATGAGGACTTTAAGATACAAAACAGATAAACATAAGGGAAAGGAAGCAAAAATAATATAAAAACAGGGAGAGGGACAATACATAAGAGACTCTTAAATATGGAGAACAAATAGAGGGTTATTGGAGGGGTTGTAGGAAGAGGGATGGGCTAAATGGGTAAGGGGCATTAAAGAATCTACCACTGAAATCATATGCTAACTAACTTGGATGTAAATTAAAAAAATAAATTAATAAAAAAACAAAAAAAACCCCCACAATATCTTCAGGTTGCATTAACAACATTGACAGAAAAAAGAAATTAATGTTTATTGGGCAAAACTCATTTTCATTTCTTTACAATCAGCCCTTACAACCATCCTGAGAAGTAGCTATTACTATGCTCATTTTTCAGATGACGAACTCAAGGGTCAGAGAAATTAAAAGAATTGCCAAGATTAGGAGCTAAGAATTGGCATTACCAGAGTTCAAACCCTAATTTGTCTAATTCCAAAGCTCATGTTCTGCTGAAACATTAATATTCCTCATCTGGGAGAGAACGTGGTTAACAAATAAATAAAAAGAAAGGACCCCCCAACACACCAAACTGTGTTCCAGAAGAAGTTATCCAACTGTTTCTAGCTTTGGTAACTTTAAGTGAGCCTGTTTCTAAAATGTTTTACCAAGAAAAACAAAATGACTGTACTCTACAAGTGGCTTATGTTCATGTACTGCTTTATCATTTTCAGCTTAATGACACTGATATTTTCTAGTTACCAACTTTTGCTTGGTTTTTAAGTGACTCTCTCCAAGTAGCTATCACTCTGTGGAGGAAAAATGGTAGGCTAGGGGTTGAAGGGAGTCAGAGGTAGGAGGGAAACTTTTACTGTACAGTCATCTTTTTAACTA